TCAGTATCAACGTTTTAATTTTACTAGTGTCTTTTCGATAGCATATTTTCGGGAACTAGACCCATTCTAATTGTCCAAGACAGGTGTGTAATTAAGGGAAAGTTACCCAATAATACCAGAGTAATTATATGTAAAAACCACATTTTTAGCTGCATTTTGACATGTCAAGAAAATAAAAAAATTGAGAACATCAGGATTTTTATAAAAAACCGACCAGCGCGACCTCTAAGAAAACTTTTTTTTTTAAATAAAAAGAACACATTTCTCTATTTTTATTACAAATAACAATAATTTGAGGTAGCGTTTATGAATTTCTAAAAAAAATTTTTTTTGAACCACTCTACAACACAGGTTTACAAAAAAAAAAAGTGTATGCATGTTAAACCAATCCTATATATCGCTATGTTATTCGACACGCTGAATGCGAATCGAAAGTCCGTTAGTCTCCATCACGTCAGGTTCGTGGTCAGTTGAAGGCCAAGTAGGGAAAAATTCATTGAATAAACCTGAAAATTCATATATATCAAGAATGATAGAATACAAGATTGCGCCAATCGAGCTGAGAGCAACTGGATGTGACGTCACATTATTTTGAAAATGAGAGTGTAAAGAATAATTTTGAAGAAGAGGAAGAAGCGACCAAGTGGTGCGAAATAGTGATGTAAAACTAGGTTGAATTGTACCTACTCTTCAGCTTCTTAAATTTGAACGTACAAGTACATTATTTTACGTACGTTTGGAACGTAGTAAAATATTGTTTCATGTAAGTAGAAAAATTGTTATGGTACTAAAGGAAGATGTAGTCCACCAACTACCAAAAATGTCTGCACATAAAAATACATGTTAACTGTTTAGGTACGTATATCTACTTTTAGGTAAAACTTTTCGGCACATTGGTAGAATATGAAAATTTAACATTCATCACTAGTGCGAAAATAATAATGTGACGTCAGCGAACGGGTTTTAACGCCGCCTGGTACTTGGGGCGTAGCACCCGAGTTTCGAAAACTATTTAGCTTACCCACGTACGCTTTGTGCGGCTGTTGTTCGTGCAAAGGTACTGCACTCGGCTCCTTTGCTGCTGGTTTTCTGGCCACTACTCCTTGCTGGTGCTGCTAAAGTTACACGGCCGCTCTAATAGTTTTTAAGTTAAAAATGATTACACACGCGCACACTACGTTCGCTCATAAATATTTTTTTTACTTTTTAATTTTTATTTTTCACTTTGTTGCGGACAACCGATTGAGTAAAGTGACGAGTAGCGATTGAATCGCTTTCTTGAAGCCAGCCTACGATACGCCTTCTCAAAACGAATGTGGATCGTAAGCTCGCCAGTGTTGACACCACACGCGATGTAATTTTATTATTTTGGGCAACATAAGTGTTGCCATATAAGATGTTACCACATCGCGCGTAATGCCATTACACCAACCGCCTATGGGAAAAGAAGTTTCACAAGGTGATCAGACAAATTGCTTTGGAGGAACGAAAATGTTATATTAATTTTCTTTCCCCCCTTTTATTCGTTCGTCCATAGCAATTTGGAAATGCATACTCCATAACTAACTAAATATACATTATATAAAATTACTTAATCGTATATAGTATTAAGCTAAACTAATTTGAATTTGAAAAAATTAAATTAGTCTTATATTGAATAATCTTTTTTTTTTGTTTTCAGAAATATTTAACTATACATTTTAATGTTTAATTTGAAAGTATTTTACAGTGCAATATTTGTTCATTAAAAATTTTGTAGTCTTAAGTAATATCTTCTTTTGTAGTTTAAAGTATTGTAATTTAGTTATTACAATTTTATTTCTTATAAATAAACCTAAGTAAATTTAAAGCACTTTTCTCTAGTATTTATAATATTGTGTTTATATAAATGAAGGGATTGTGTTCATTTGGCGAATAATTTCTATTTAGTGAGTATTTCATTTTACACATTTTTTTTTGTTTGATTGCTTGACTTGAAAAATTCATATAATGTTTTTGTTATATGTTGAAATAATAGTTGGTTGAGATGGAAGTTTCAACCAACTTTTTGAACTCTATTTTTGTGGATTGTTTTTACTTTATCTTTTTCTTTATCGAAAATAGTAATATTAACACCATCTACTTTAGATACAACGTGAGGACCCTGATATATATTTTCATGTTTAATTCGGGGTTCTTTTTATACTAGAACGAGATCGTTTTCTTTAATATCTACTGGACGAGAGTGTCTATCATACAAATTCTTTTTGCGGATTTTATGTTTGATAATTAATTCTTTGGCTATTGCATGTGACTTTTGCATCCGGTACTTAACCTCTTTTTCATAATTCTCAACATTATAAATGGGATCAATTTTTTCATTTTTCAATTCTTGCGGTAAAGTCGGTGTTTTTCCGAAAACTAGTTCGAGTGGAGTAAATTTGTTGTCAAAAACAGAATTTGGAGTAGTATTATGCAAAAAGGTGAAATACTTAAGATAAGTGTCCCAGTCTGAAATAGTCTCATTTAGGTATGCACGTAAGTATTCATTGAAAACGCGATGGTTTCGCTCAATAGTGCCCACTGTTTCGTGGTGGTGTGCTGTCGAAAAGTTATGATCAATCTTTAAGAGTTTTGTTAGTTCCGAAAATATTTCGTTTTTATATTCCGTTCCTAAATCTGATCTGATTGAGTTCATTATGCCGAATACTAGTATGTGACTTTCAAAAATAGCAGAGGCTATCGTTTTGGCGCTTTTATCTGGAACAGCAACGGTTACCAGATACTTTGTCAGATCACAAATCATAGTAACAGCGAACTTGTTACCGCTTGTTGATTCTGGCAAAGGCCCTATTGTATCAATTATCACTATTTCAAAAGGTTTGTGAGGCGTTGGCGTTAAAACAAGGGTTTCTTTTGTTTTTGGTTCTGGCTTGTTTAGTAAGCATTTCTCGCAATTCTTGACAAATTTTGATATATCGCGGGTCATATTTTTCCAAAAATATTTTGTACGGATTTTTGCATATAATCTTTTGAGTCCACAATGTCCTCCACTTATTGGGTCATTATGGTATATTGTCATAAGTTGGTGTTTCTTTTCGTCGTCGGTCACAGTTTCGACTGGATCCGTTCTTTCTTTAAAATTTTATTTCCGCGATCTTTTAAGTTCGTAATTGTAAAATATTTGAAAAATAAGTCATTTTTTGGCCATTCTAACGTCTTAATATTACAACTGTTGGCTTCGAATTCAAGCCGCGAAAGTAACTCATCAAAATTCGTTTTTTCGTTAACAATCGTAAAATTAAGTAACTCGAGTTTTTTGTGTTTTAAATGTGCACACACTTGAAAATTTGAAATTTTATTATTTTTATCATATATTATATCTGTTTTCACCCGGGGTATTTTCTTTGAGAAATCATATGAAAATTTGTCATGAACCTGTAATTTAATATTGTCATTGCATTCACTATCGTACTTTAATTGCGTTCTATTCATCATTGATCTTGTTTTTACCGCTAGTACTTGTTTAGTGGAGTCTTTTAGTTCGTCCATTGTAATCCGTGACAATGCGTCCACTCCTACATTCGATTTTCCTTTTATATATTCGATTGTAAAGTCGTATTCTGACAGTTCTAAGCGTATTCTAGCAAGCTTTGACGACGGGTCCTTCATGTTAAAGAGATAAACTAAGGGTCGATGGTCAGATTTCACCGTAAAGTGAGTGCCGTAAACATACGGTCGAAACTGCTTGATCGCAAAATATATAGCTAAAAGTTCAAGTTCGATTATCAGTTTATTCTGTTCTGCTTTATTGAAAGATTTTGACGCGAAACAT